AAAAAAAAGAATTCTTTGTTTAACTATCCTTTTATGGCCTATAAAAAAGGCAGATGTTTCATTGAGGTCAACTGTAGACTGTTGTTGTTTGTTGTTAGGTGCCGTCGATTTGTAGACAACCCTATGAATGAAAGGCCTGAGCACTGTTCATAGAGTTTCCGGAGGCAAGCCATTTCAGAAGTGAATGCCATTCCTTCTTCCAAGCTTGTTTTAATCAGGAAGTTCCACCAAACACTGTCTACCATGAGTAACCATTATCATATTTGACACAACAGTGTCACAGTGTTTAGCATCATTGCAACCATGAGTTATCTCTGTATAGCAATGCACAGACCAGTGCTATAGCACCTAGAAGGATGTTTGGCAAAAAGAAAGAAACAAACAAACAAACAAAATAATTGGAACCAGGTCTGAGAGCTGCAGATTAAAATCATTCACCACCTTGGGCTTGGTAGCATAACTTTCTGTCCACTAGGCCAACGCAGCTCTTTCTATGTTGTCATTGTTATTGTTGTTAGGTGCCGTCGAGTCATAGACGACTCATAGAGACCCTATGAACAAAACTTTCTGTCCACTAGGCCAACGCAGCTCTTTCTGTGTTGTCATTGTTATTGTTGTTAGGTGCCGTCGAGTCATAGACGAGTCATAGAGACCCTATGAACAAAATGCCTGAGCACTGTTTATAGAATTTCTGGAGGCCAGCCATTTCAGAAGTGGATGTCATTCTTGCTTCCAAGCTTGTTTTAATTGAGAAACTCCAGCAAACACTGTCCACCATGGGTAACCATTATCCCATTTGGCATATCAGTGTCACAGTGTTTAGCATCATAGCAACGACAAATTACCTCTGTACAGCAAGCCTAAATAAAATAGTGCCACCTGTGGCTTCAGCAGTCCCAGACATGGTATCAACAGAAAATAGCAGAAAATACAGTAGACAAAAGAAGATTGGTACTCAGTGACGGATCTAATAAACACTCATTTTTTTCCATCCCAATCTCTGAAAAGAACCAGCCACAGTTTGCTTGCATATGGGAAGGATCTCAGTTTACATTTGTGGTCTTAACACAGGGTTATCTGAAATCACCAGCCTACTGCCATAACGTGGCTAGAAGAGACTTGGACTCGGTCTAGTTATCAAGTGTAATTATACATTACATTGATGATATGCTGTTAATAGAAAACACTGAAAAACAGGCTAGACATGATTTGAAAACAGTGGTTGCCCACATGATCAACAGAGGTTGCTTGATAAATGCAGCAAATTTCAGGGCTCTGCCCAAAAAGTAAAATTCTTGGGAATAACCTGGGCAGAAACCACTCATGACATTGACAGGCAACCAAAAAGCAGTTGTTGTCACAGAGACTAAACAGGAGGCTCAATGTTTGTTTGGTCTGTTTGGATTTTGTATGACCCATATCTCTATTTTGGAATAGTGTTAGCTCCAATCCATAAAGTTACTAGAAAGAAAATTGCATTTGAATGGGGACCTGAGCAGCAGCAGGCTATGGCTGAAATACAGAAAGCAGTCTCACTTTCCTTGCCTCTAGTCCCTTATGATCCACATTTTGATATGACTCTCAAGGGATCTGCTACGTATGCTTGTGCCGCTGCAGCTTATGAAAAAAAACCTAGGAAAGCTGCCTGCAGTAACCACTAGGATTCTGGACAAGGACATTTCCTGATGCTTCTGCAAGGTACATGTCATTTGAAATACAGTTACTTGCCTGCTACTGTGTATTGGCTGAGATTGCTTCAGTGACAGGAGGATTAAGATTATTATGACACCCAAAACATCCATCATGTCTTCATATGGGTGATGCCAGGGAAACTCTAAGAAAGAAAATGGGGCCTAAAATAGTTTCATGATAAAATGAAAATGGTTCCTCTAGGAACAAGCTACTTGGGGAATGGAGGGAGGCACCCACAATATCCAAGAACAAGTAGGACCCATTGGTCCTACCCTGGAAGCCCCGAAGAGGCTGTAAGAGCACATTGCCACATGGGAAATGCCCTATGAACAACTTCCTGCTGCTCAGCAAAGGGATACTTGGTTCACAGATGACAATTTCAGAGTATGCAGAAAACATTTGATGTGGAAAGCCACCACACTGAGGAAAGCAAGAACAGATCTGCACAATGGGCTGGACTACACGATATCTTCCTAGACGCTACTGAGGAGTTGGGCAATGGTGAGAGTTTATGTGCTTGAAGTTTGACTGATTCAGTAGTTAGTGGCTTACCCAGATGGTCAGGCAAATTTGTTGTTGTTGTTGATTGCCTTTGAGTGGAGCACAACTCATAGAGGACCTATGAACAAAAGGCTTGAAACCCCTCTACAACTATCGGTATTTATCAAAGTTTATAGGGTTTCTGGAGCCATGTTATTTAGGAAGTGGATGCCAAGGGACACCAGTGTGTGACATGGACCTATGTAAAGCACTCTGGGAATTTAGGGAGTGCACTAGAGCTGGACATGTCAATCCCCATCAAAAGAATCCCTTGCCAGGATCAGAATCAGTGATTACAATCAGCAAGTGGACATGTTGGTGCATTCTCTTGAGGATGCCAACTGAGTCCATAAATTGAGTGGACATAGCAATGCAGTAGCAACATAGACATGAGCTGAGGCACAGAACACCAATAAAGATTACTCTACTTACCAGCAAGGGAAAAAGGTGGTGTATGGGACAGAGTCCCAAAGGGGAAGGTCCTGCACATGGTTGGCCAGTCAATTATATCAGACCAATGTCACCAGTAGCACCAGGTGGCTCTAAATGGTTCCTCACAAGAACAGATACTTATTCTGAATTGAGGCTTGCCAGTAATTGAAACAAATATCCTGTAACTGATGCAAGTGCCAAAAATGCCATTAAAGAACTAAAACAAAAAATACTGTACCACTGTAATTTGGGCCCTGAAGTTATATATCCTCAGACCAAGGATTGCAACTTAAAGAATACAAAGTGTAACAACAGGCAAAGAAACATCATATTATACGTACATGCCATGTTGCCTATCACCGTCAGAATAACGATCTGATAGAGAATTGGAATAAACAATAGAAACACTTGTTATCTAAAACAAGAGAAGGTGAGGGTATGAAGGGCTGGCTCACACGCCATCAAGATTGTGTGCATACACTCAATATGAGAGGATCCAAAGATGTCTCATCTCTGGACAGATCACTGTGTTTCTCAGGTATATTTGGAAAGAAAGAGTAGGGGAAGATGATGATCCTACTACACACTTCTTCTCCATAACACTTGAAATTGTTTTCTTGTTACCAGATGCTGCAGTTTCAGGTTCAAGGGATGCAGCTAAGCAAAGTGATTCCTGAACAAACAACTGTAACATTACCTTTAAATGCATATGCAAGAATTATCAAAAGTATAATGGAGTGGATTGTACCTTCATCCCATCTTGAAAAAGCAGGATTACCAGAGAATATAACTGTTCAGCTGAGACGGCCTGCTGGTGGTGTACCTGTGTAACCCTATCCAACATGAATTGGAATGGACCAAAGGCGAACAACTCATCAGACTGGACTTGTTAATGCTATTTGGGCTGGAAAAATACCTAACTCTGATGTCCCATTCCAAGGGGGGCAAGCTGGGATAAAATTACATGATAAATGAGAGGAAGGAGAAATAATAGCTGAGGATAAAGGAATGAATAAATTTGTCAAGCAGTAAGGAGATCTCATGTTACACTGAGGAACACTCAGAACAAGGGAATAACTTTCTCCAGTTAAATTCCAGAGATCAGAAAAGCAGTCAAGATATACCTAATGGATTAAAATGAAACATGTTTATTTGGATGTATGCATCTGGTGGATTATGATGCTTCTTCTATGTCTTAATGTTAACATATATTCTAAAAAGTGATTAAGGTTTTTATTGATTTTAGCTATATTTTATTTCATTCTACATAGCTGATGCTATAATGACGGGACTGACCCTTCAGAAAATGAGATAATGGCTAGAAAATCCGGGAGGTAGTCTGTGGTATCAGAGACTTTAATAATAGACTTTCCATTTACACAACCCTCACACACAGCACACAGGCCTGGGATTTAATTAGGAATCAGCATTGTGAGTTCCACAGAAAAGAACACACAATGGTTGTAAAAAAAAAAAAAAGTTTTTTTGAATAAAAAAAAGCACACCTGCTCACTCGAAATTATGCAAACAACACAGAAAAAATCGTGAAAAAGGCAAAAAAAAAAAATAATAGACTTTCCTCGCCCCATTGGGGGAATGATCTCCCCCAACCTTACTTATGGACCCATGATCTCTCAAATAATCCACAGCTATAGGATCAGTATAAGAGAGTGCTCTCCACACTGTGGAATGTGTAAAACATCAATATAGGAGCAGCACCACAACTGTGTTAATTTAGCCCAAGCCTTCATGAGAATCCACTTTGACTGAAAAATCTTATAAGGTGAACTAAGCATCCTGTTGCATCCAGACTGGCCCACTGCTCACAAGTTTCTACAAACAAAACCTTAAAAAAATAATTTGATAATAAAAGAATTAAAGCAAAAACTATATTTTAAAATTCCCAAAAGAAGCTTTTTGCCCTTGAATCACTTCTGAAGCATAATGACCCTGGGGGCAGAATAGAACTGCCCCAGGAGGTTTCCAGGGCTTTATGGAAGGAGACTGTCACACCTTTCTTCTGTGGACAACTAACAAATTCAAACTACCATATTTTTTTGGTTATCAGTGGAGGTCTAAATCACTAAATCACTATGGCACCATGATTTTTTATAATATGTGTGGGATAGTAAGTGGACAGAGTTTGCACATAATGAGTACATATTTCATCTCATTCCAGATAGGAACATTCTCTCACCCCCTTTATAAAATTGATCTTTCTTGTTCTCTAAAGCAATGTGATTTTTATTGGTAGCATAAAGAAAACTACAGTCTACTTCTGCCTGTTTTGGAACTTGTAAGATGAAATCATGGCATATATATTCTTATGTTTTACTTTTGTTCATTGTTTTGTCTTGTAATTTTTGAAATTTTAGTACATTTTTCTTTATCTAGTGTTTATTTGTATTGATCTTTATGATTCCATTATATGAATATAAAATATTTTTTCTCTTATTATTTCCAATTTTCCCCATTGCAAAATTTTATCATTTTAACTTTATATAATGGTATTGTCTCTAGTATATTAAGGTTAGACTTGAACAAAGGAAATGATATTGAAAACATTTAAAGATTTTTTATATTCACAGTTCCAATTTGCTTTATACACAAATATTTGTTGTAGTCACAGTACCAACTTGTTATATACACAATACCAATTGGAAGACTATACCCAGAAACAGTGAGTTAGAATTGTAGGGCTTATACATGGCAAGCAGTGTAGGGTTAACTAGCATTTGTAGACTTTCTCAGAATTGGACATTTTTAATAATTAGGAGGAAGGCCCTCTATGAGGTGGATTGATTCAGTGACTGGGATAACTGGGATGGGAGTGTCAGAGACAGTGCGATTGGCACAGGACAGAGAGGAGTTTAGGGCTGTTGTACATAGGGTCGCTATGAGTCGCAGCTATATAACCCTATCGCAGCTAGGCATAGGGTTTTTACAAGGCAAGATTATAAACCAAGAAATTCTAAGGATTGTCAGAATCAGGGAGGAAGGCTAGGACTGATTCTGCCTTCTGA